CTGCGAACGTCCTCTTCAGATATGCTGCTCTTCTGTGATCTGGCAGACCCAGAAGAGCTTTTAGAGAGTGATCTCCCCTTGAGTTCACTCAGTTTAAACATCTCTTGAATTTGTATGAATAACATATTTACGATATCCACACACAATTCAGTAATTACATCCTCTGGGGTGCTGTCTAGAGACCCGCCTTGCTGCTTCGACAACTGTATGTTTGCCAGCTTTTCCAGGCTCTGTTGGATAAGTACGCGAAAACTCTCCGTTGCAGCTTGATCCATCTTGTCTGTTAGTATCCTTTGATCCGAAGTCTTGAAGAATCTGTGCTTAAGGTCTTTGTATCCTTGTGAAAGTGTCCTGAAGAATGTGAACTGAACCAGGTTGATTTGGATCCTATATCTATATTTTCTGACAGAATGTTCGCCTTTGTATCAAAGCAACATTCTATTGGCTTTGATCTTTGAATGACAACATTCCGATGACATCACATCGAAAGACTAAAGGAATTTTTTTTTAAAACACAACATTGCGACATTGAAACAATTTTAAAAATAAACACTTAAACTTCACCAATAATAGATTGATTTGGTCTCATAAAATACACTATTATGGTGAACCATAACAACTACTATTAAACATGTGTGAGTAGAACAACTGTAACAAACAAATGGATCAATAAAGTATTTCTGATTCTGGTATATAAGCTGTATATATATTTAAGAGAGAGAGAGAGAGAGAGAGAGAGAGACATACATAGTATATAGGCCTATATAAAGACATATGGACCTCCATATGATCACATTAGGGGTGTGGCTGTATTAACCTGTAAGGGGACCCACTTTTTCTTTAAAGCTGACAAAACAATCTCACCTATAGGTCCATTTATTAGCTGTACTGGAGCTTTAGGGTAAAGCGCAATAGGGTAAATTGCAAGAGATGTAATATTTTGATGAAGGTAAAATGTGTGACAAAGCAGCATCACTCAGATCGATCACATCAAAATGTTGGCACCGCGTGAGTGGCAGCTAGTTACAGCAGCTCTTAACCTCATGGCTCTTTTTAGTGTTAGTGTACTATATAGTGTGAGACTGAGATATAAAAAGTTATTTCATGATTACAAGAAAACAAAACAAAACACATAAACCTTCATAGTCTTTGGGCATCTGTATAATGATGTTACTTGCTGTACTTGTGTTTTTATTCACAAGAAAGTAAAGACGGATGATCCACACCTAAAAATGAGTGACCTGTTTGCTGATGAAGGTCATGTAATATGATCAAAAGCTCCATAACAGCTGCTAAATTTAGTTTACTTGTGTTTGCAAGGTTACAAACAATGTGGAGAAATGTGGTGGAAATGAATTCAGTTTACTCTAATACTGTAGACTCCTTAAGTATTTTACTTAAGTCTACTGTTTTGGGTTTCTGTGATTTATTTCCTGTTTTATTTTGTAGTGTCTTTCACTTTACTTCCTGTCTTTGTCTGTTTTCCTACCAGTTTTGATTATCTGATTATTTTCACCTGTGTCTTGTTATCCTCCCCCTCACCTGTGTATCTGGTCTTTGGGTGTCTTTGTTCCCTCGTGTTTTCTCTATATTGTTCAGACTACTTTCAGTTTATGGACTTCTGGATTTATTGGATGCCTTTTGCCTGTTCAACAAAGTTCAACGCGTTATTACGTAAGCATGAACTAACCAATTTCAACCAATAATATCACAACATACACATCCTCAACTTTTAGCTAGCTAGCTAGCTAACAACAGCATGGCTAGCTACCGGAGCAGGACAACCTTATCTCTTGTACAAAAGCAGAACTTTATTATATGAAACTGGGTCAGATTTAATGGAGATAAATATTGTCTGTTTGTTTTTGTTTTTTGACGTCGTCCAGCTGCTCTGCCTCATCCACTTTTACTAGCTACAACATTAAAAGAATGCTTACACATGGATGCATCAGTCATTATAAAACAATAATATTACTGTAACAGGCCATTCTGCATAATGACTTATATTATGATGCTATATACTTAAAGCAGCAACAATGAACGTTAATGTTTTGTTGATTCTGGCGGATTCTGTTTGCAATTTAACAAGCAGTAATTAAAAACAACTCAAAGTTAGCACAGATGGTTGTATGACTGTTTCTTTATTAACCCAGCTAAATATAAATGCTCTTCACCTAATTGAACTGCACCTTTTAGTGACTCCTGTGTCACAACTTCTCTCCTCTAATCTGTTGCTCTTCCCCAAAATTATTTTTCTCTCTTATCAGTCTATCTCCTCTCCTCCTCCTCTTTCTTCCATCTTTTCTCTCTCTCTGTCTCCTCCTTCCATCTCCTTGTGGCCACCTGTTCTTCATCCCATGATGCTGATGATGGTGTTGTTTACCCTGCAGGAGGAAGCGGAGCCTCACGGAGGAAACGAGAGGAACCAACAGGATTGCCGCTGACTGATGACTGCTCGCTGATCACTGTATGTTAATTTCTATTAATTTAACACACATTGTTCATAAATTTCGGTCATTCATACATTGTGATCCTCAGCCACTTTATCCACAGTTGAAAGGGAAGATGACTCAGTCAACTCTTAAATTGAGTTAAACACTCAGCATTAACTGCTGGCTCTGTAATAATTATAATATGAATGTGCTGAATAATTTAGAAATTAAAACTAAGATCTGCTTTTCCATGAGTGTGTTAGAAGGAGAAATGAGATTAGCAGAGCAAATAAAATCACTGAGGCTGTGAAGAGTTTTAAACCTTGGCATATAGCCACTGGTGCTGTAATAGTATTGCATTATGGTGATGCAATAGCTTACATTTTGTTTTTCTAAATTAGACTCTTGGATCATAACTTTATATTGTGATGTCTGCAGGGCAAAAGCAGCTCCCAGTGGCACTGAATGAGAAAACTAGGTGAACCCAGTCTGAGCAGAAGAAACAGTCCTCTGTGTATTCAGTACATCTTAAGCTCAATGTGGTCTCCCTGTTGCAGCGATATTAATGTTGAAAATGATTCTCCTCTATAGAAGTTAGTATTGAAAGGTCTTTCAGCTCATTTTTAAAGTCTCTGGCTGATTTAATCAAATCACACTCCGGTGTTCTTCACAGTTTAGGTGGGCAGAATAATTACCTGTTGCATACTTGTGGGTAGGCACACTGACAGGATCACTTAATAAAGAAAAAAAACTTCTAAAATGGAAAAATCTTACTTTAAAATAACTACTGGAAACACTGCTGTCTGTTGGAAGGTAACAACAATTCCCAACACTGTAAAACCAGATAAGTTAATGTAACTAAGAAAAAATAATAAATGGTGAAACTGAATATTTTAAGTAAAGCAAACTCAATTTTGTAAGTTAAAACATTCTTGATCAAGTAGTTTTAATAATTTTTAAGTGACACTGACTTTATTTTGTAATTTTTACTTGTACTGTAAAAACAAAATACCTAGTAAAAAAGTACTTTGTCAGGAGTTAGTGTTACTTGCTTCATCAAGAATCTTTTTAGGCTTACAAAATTAAGGTTTCTGTTACTTAAAATTTCCGATGTTTGGATTCTGGGTCGATTTTGGGTGAATTTTGTTATTATGACGCCACATTCACAAAAAAACACAGCATTTTGAATTCACTGCAGCTCTGATTGGTTCCCCTGACTACCATCTTTCCATGGCAACAGAAGCTGAGGCTCATGGGTATTTTAATATTTTGGGATGGACAAAACAGGACTTCTCACAAAGGAATCATTAAAGTTGGTGGTCATAACATAAATCAATACGATTTTTAGATTATACAGGAAACTTTAAACTGTTATAAGCTGTAACAGCTAGCTAGTTAGCTAAAATCAACTCTAAACTCATTTAAAGTTTCCAGTCAGTACTTCTTTGTATTAGGCTCACATTTTTGCTCATTGAGGCAATTCCCAAACGTCACTGCCAACATGCCTTCCATTTCTTTCCTTTAGCAGGGATTCAGACCTAAAACGTGCATTAAAACAACACGGAGGGCGGTTTGAGGTACCAGTGAGACATGAAATATGATCCAGGAAGAAGCCAAAACACCTCACAGCAATTTGTAATTCTCTCACGGCAGCAATTATTTTATGTTTCTTCATGTCAATCACAAGGTAAACTGTAGACAGTACAGCGATCACGTTACAAAGAAATCTACCTAGTGTGCATTGGCATGTATCTGACTGGCTAACGCAAACCTTGCTGCACAAGAAATAACATATTAAGGAACTTTCGACACAGAGTATTTGGCCTCTTTAACAATCTTAGAGTTTTCTTAGATTATAGATGGTGATGTTTTTTACACATTTTCTCAACCTGCTGCTCTATGAATCAAAGCGCTGTAGCGGTACAAGACTCACCAGTTTGTAAAAAAAAAAAAGCGACCACATTCATCAAGGAGGTTTATGTGACTTTTAACAGATAACACGCCTTCACTGCTTCTGTTTGCTGTGTAGGCATCAAGCTATTCCTTCTTCTTATCAGTAACATGGTGTCAAAGGTCACAAAGCTTACAGAGAACACTTAACAGAACTGACTTTAGTTCATGAAAACCTGCAGTCGGCTGCTGCCTCGGTAGACGTGAAGATATTAGAGGATCTCATCTCATTACACAGCAGTATAGTAACAGTGGAGTCTCTCTGCTTCCATTTGAAGCCCTCGACGTTTTGTCATGACGCTCTGTTGGAGGGAAAGGATCTCCTCTCTCATAGCAGGCTGCTGGTAATTAT